AGGACAGAAATGAGACCCTGAGCCACCTTCCAGCATAAAGACACCCTGAAAGAGCCTGGAGGCATCACTGAATCATTGAATGAATGATGGAATCACACACTGGTTTAGGTTGGAGGGACCTTAGAGCTTATTCAGTTCTACCCCCTGCCACAGGTAGGGACACCTTCCACTAGACTAGGTTGCTCCAAGCCCTGTCCAACCTGGCCTGGAACACTTCCAGGGATGGGACAGCCACAGCTGCCCTGGGCATAGCTACAAGAGAATTGGAGTGAGGACAGCTTCTCCCTTGCTGCTTGAGTGCTGAGATGTGACAGCAACCCCAGCTCCAAGGAGCTGACAGGAGCCCTGGCAGGGTGATGGACACCTTCCTCCTCCCCTTCCTCCTCTCTTCCTGATCTGCAGCACTGGAATGGGAACACTCTGCTTCCAAAAAAAGGCTTGGGCTGTGCCTGCTGCTGCTCCTGCCAAGGCCAACAGGAATCCACTGGCTGTTTTGGCCTTACGGAATCATAAAGGTTGGACCTCCAAGACCATCAAGTCCAACCTGTGACCAAATCCCAGCATGCTCACTAATCCCTATCACCATGTCTAGTTGCTTTTAGAACACCTCCAGGGATGGAGACTCCACCACTACCCTGGACAGCTCCTTCTGATGCCTGACAGCCCTTTCCATAAAGAAATTCCTCCTGATGTCCGCCCTGAACCTCCCCTGGTATTGCCCAAGTAGTGACTTGAGGCAACAGCACAGCATCCCAGAATCATTTTGGTTGGAAAAGACCTCCAAGACCATCAAGTCCAACCTGTGACCCATCACTACCTGTCAACTAGACCAGAGCACTGAGTGCCACGTCCAGCTGAACACCAATAGGGATGGTAACTCCACCACCTTGTCCTTGCCCTTGCCCTATCACTAGTTGCTGTGAAGAGGCTGAGGAAAGTGTTGTGTGAGGAGATGGTGGCTCTCCTCCATCAGGACACAAGCATGAGGAGGACACCCAGAGCCACCCACAGTCCCAGGCCCACCTGCTCACAGAGGGAGCGGAACCCGAACTCCTCCAGCCGGTCCAGCTCGTAAGTCTCCCCCAGCAGAGGGTTGAATGGCTTTGCTGTGCGATGGACAGTGGTGGAGTAGGAAGACACGGAAAAGGCGGCAACAAAGCACATTTGCTCCGTGGAGCTCTCGCACTTGACCGCCTTGTCCAGCAGCTCGTGGTACTCCAGGTCCTCCGTGAGCCGCTGCAGCATGGAGAGAGGCTCATTGAAGTTCACCTGCAGGGGAATGAGTTGGGGTTAGGAAAGCAGGAGAGATGCCACCTGGGCATATCACAGTCTCATAGTGCGTTAAGGGGTTGCAATGGAGCTTAAAGATCACCCAGCCCCAACTCCCTGCCCTGGGCAGGGACACCTCCCACCACAACAGGTTGCTCAAGGCTTTAGCCAACCTGGCTTTCAACCCTGCCAGGCTTGGGGCAGCCACAGCCTCCCTGGGCAACCTGTGCCAGTGTCTCACCACCCTCACAGGCAAAACTTCTGCCTAAGATCTCAACTTCCCTCTTGCAATTTCTCCCCGTTACTCCTTGTGCTGTCCCTGCAGTTCCTAAACAAGAGTCCCTCTGCAGCTTCCCTGGAGCCCCTTCAGCTCCTGGCAGGGTACTCTGAGGTCTCCACACAACCTTCTCTTCTGCAGGCTCAACAGCCCCATCTCTCTCAGCCTGTCCTCATAGGGAGCTGCTCCAGTGCTCTGAGCGGCTTTGTGGCCTCCTCTGACCTTGCTCCAACACTTCCATGTCCTTCTGCTGTTGGGGCCAGCAGAGCTGTGTGCAGGACTCCAGCTGGGTCTCAGCAGAACAATCCCCTCCCTCCCCTGCTGCCACACTCCTTTGGCTGCAGCCCAGGCCTGGGTTGGTTTCTGGGCTCTGAGCTCACCCTGCAGCTCAGGGGGAGTCTGGAATCACCATCACCCCCAAGTCCTTCTCCCAGGGCTGCTCTCAGTGACTTCTCCCCCAGCTTAGAACTGTGTCTGCAAACCTGTGACCTTTTCCCCCATCACTGTGTTCTGCCCACTGGTGGCATCCCACAGGTCTGGCTCCAAGTCCAGGATCCAGGTTAGATGGGAACTGCTGCCACAGGGCAGCTGACAGTGCAGGGCTGGATGTGCAGCACCACAAATTCTCTGCTCTGCTCTGCTCCCTGGGCCATGCTGTGGGAGCACCAAAGCTTTGAGGTTCCCAGTGAGGTGAGGGCAGGTGTGAGCCCTGTGAGATAACCAGGTGTCACCTCAGGTATCACCTTGACCCCCAAAATGAGCTTCAGCAGCAAGAGCAGCTGCCTTCCAGCCAGCACCCCACTAGCCATGGTGACACAGGGCAGGGACATGCTGCTCCCCAGGCCCCCTCATCACCTCCTGGCAAAGCAATCCCTGTGCTAAGCTGACCCAAAAGACCTGGAAAAGGCCAATTTTGGGTCTCGCTGCTTCTGGGCTCCAGTGCCATGACAGCACTATTGAAACTAAGTAATAACTGAAAGAAAGGTGAAGCCTCAAAAGGTCTTTTGCCTCAGATCCATATGAAATTCCCTCTAATTTCAGTTCAAAACAAAGCAGATGGCTGAAGGATGGGAGAAGCGCTCCTGTAAGCCAAGGGAAGTATTTCCTCGTAAAGAAAACAAACTCCAGATTCCAGGATTTAGCTTTTTTTAGATTTTCCGCTCAGGGATTAGCCTGGAAGTGGCAGAGATCTCACAGCAGCTGAGACAGAGAGAGCTGTGGAGAAAGAGCAGCAGCAGAACCATGGTAAAGGCAAATCACTTGGGATAACTCCAGGGAGAGATGCAGAGAACAAAGCCAAATCTGCATCCTCGGGCAACAGAGAAGCAAAACCCTTCCACGGGGGAAAAGGATGAACCAACCCAAATTCCACATCCTAACAGCTGTTTCCCTCCTTTTCAGTGCTGCAGAGGAAAAATGAAGGAGCTGATTGCATGAGTGGTTTGTCAGTCCATCACATCCCCCAGGAAGGAGAGCTCAGAATGTCTCAGAACATCTCAGAAATGCTCTTAATTCCTCAAGATTCAGATGAAGCAATGCAAGGAGAAATGCCATCACTGGGTGAGCACCACACACTCACCAATGGTTTGAACCATAATAAATGACATTTCCAAACTGCCTCTCCCAAGCTGCTTATGCCACCCCTCCTCCTTCCCTGCAGTGTCAGTTCCCAAGCTCTCTCTCAGCAGCTCCATCTGGATCCACAGAGCTGCTGGCCTCTCCTGTAACTTTCCATAGATTATGGAGAGAGGATTTCAATGGCTGTTGGAAGGAGGTTCAATTGCTGCTTGCACCTGGGGTGAGTCTCCCAAAGAACTGCCACATGCAGCTCAGCTTGCGGGGTGTATCCTACTGAGTTTCACAACTGGTTTGGGTTGGAAGGGTTAAAGCTCATCCAGTCCCACCCCCTGCCATGGGCAGGGACACCTCCCACTAGCCCAGGTTGCTCCAAACCCCATCCAACCTGGCCTGGAACACTTCCAGGGATGGAGCAGCCACAGCTGCTCTGGGCAGCCTGTACCAGTGCCTCAGTACCCTCACAGGGAGGAATTTCTTCTAATATCTAGCCTAAACCTTCTCTCTTTTGTTCTGCCCTCGGGTTTGGAATCTAGGAGCTCCCAGAAGTATTTGATTGACAGGGAAGGTATAAATTTCCTCTCTGCAGGCACAAGCAGCTGCTGGGATTTCATATCCTGAGCTCATTCCTGTGCCCATTACGCCTTGAGCTGCTGCTGTAGCAGAAAGGCTAAGAACTGGTGCTGGGCTGGAAATAGCACAAGGAATCAGAGAATCGCAGAATCACCAAGGCTGGAAGAAACCTCTAAGGTCATCAAGTCCAACCGTTAACCCGTCACTGCTGGAACCCCTAATCCCTAAAATCATATCCTCCAGTGCCAGACCCAGACGTCTCTTAAACACCTTCAGGAATGATGACTCCACCACTTCCCTGGGCAAGGAAGAGACAGCTCACGAGTTCTGAGCTCTCACTCAGCCTCTGCTTTAAGGAGAGACAAAACACAACCAGTTCAGCACCTGGAATGTGCTCCTTCCCCTTGCCCAGCAAGGGAATGACCTTGCTCCAGGGTCCAGGATACAGCTCCAGGGTCCAGATCAAACTCTGCTGGGCTAATTCTGCTCCAGACAGTACCACAGCAACCTCCAGTCACCCCCATGTTTACAGCTCTCCCAAGCTTGCCAGGAGCTCATTGTATTTATGGACATCGTTTCCTTAGGATGGCACCAGTCTCATCCATGCTGCTCACTGGTGATAAGCTGCTGAGAACAGGCAGCCTGGAAAGGGCTTGGAGAAAACAACACTGTAGTTTTGGGGAGCACTGGTGTGGCAGCATTTATCTGGGAAGATGAGGCATAGGTTACTTCTCTGCAGAAATGCAACACACACCCCTCTCTCCACAGAGACCTCAGAGCCCTTCCAGTGCCTCAAGGGGCTCCAAGAGAGCTGAGAGGGACTTAGGACAATGGCCTGGAGGGACAGAACACAGGGAATGGCTTCCCACTGCCAGAGGGCAGGACTGGATGGGATGTTGGGAAGAAATTGCTCTCTGTGAGGGTGCTGAGGCACTGGCACAGGTTGCCCAGAGAAGCTGTGGCTGCTCCATCCCTGGAAATGTTCCGAGACAGGTTGGAGCAACCTGGGCTATTGGGAGGTGTCCCTGCCCATGGCAAGGGGTGGGATGAGATAAGCTTTAAGGTCCATTCCAACCCAAACAACTCCATGATGCTATGACAAGACTGAGGTGGTTGCAGAAGGCTCTGCAAGTGCAAAATCCAGACCCCTGGGACACAGTTGGCAGCTGGTGACATGTACTGCTTGAGGTTGCTGTGCTCCCACAGCACTTGGAAGGACCATCCAGAGCTGTAACCCAAATCTTTTGTACAGCCAAGTTCTGTGCCCAAACCATACCCTGTGTGCCAGCCCTGGTGCATGGGCCACACGGACTTACAGGCATGGGGATCTTGGAGAGCTCCTTGCCAATGCAGTTCTTCATGATGCTCCAGAGGTTAAGGCTGTAGTTGGGTTTGTCAGGGATGCGAGTTCGTCTCCTCTTCTTCGGCAGGAGATCTTTGCATGTAGACTCATTGTAGCTGCTTTGATTGGAGCTCTCAAAGACCTGTGGAAGCAACAGAAGAAACAGAGGTCTAATTTGGACTGACCCTGCATGACCCAACCAGAGCTCCCCTGAGCAGCAACCACAGCTTAGGAAACACTGTGTGCTGGGAAGCATCACTGGAAGCCTATTCCCCAGGGAAATATGGGTATGCTTGCCCCCCAATTCCTGCTTCCCTTAGGAGAGTGTTCAGGATGCTGATGTGAGACTGTTGACATCTGTACCCCACCTGTGGCCTAGAGAGCAACTACCATCTGGGACCACTCAGTGGGTCCCTCCACAACCTTCCCCTCTCCAGCTCCCCTCCCTGGTTTCATCCCACCAGGACCACCCTGCCCAGCCAACTCACACTGTCCTCCAGGTTCCAGTCCTCGGGGTGGCCCTCGCTGGCTCCACTCAGGTTACTGCCTGAACGCCTGTGGGAAGGAAGCACAGGCTGGTGAGCATGGGAAGGGGCAGAGGAGGGGAAAGGAGAGCTGGGGCTGATGCAGCATCACCAAGAGCATCTTCCAGCAACACCTCAGGGTGCTGCCAGGAAGGAAACAGGGGTTTAGATGGGACATTGGGGAGAAATTGCTCCCTGTGAGGGTGCTGAGGCACTGGCACAGGTTGCAGGGGCAGGGGATGGGAGGAGTTTGCTGGGGACAGGAGGAGTTTCCTGGGGACCTGCCTGCAGTAACCCAGCAGAAGGGGATGCTGCCCTGGGGCCCGAGCAGGATGCCAGGCAAACCATCTCTTCCTGACCCCTCCTGCACTCCCAGCCAGCTGGGCAGCTCCTACCTGTGGTGCTTGGGGTCTGCGGTTACAGTGATAAAAGCTGGTGCATCCTCCATGGCATCGAAGTACTCCGTCTCTTCATCTTCATCACTGGCCTCTCCTTTAGCAGACTGCACACTCCCTGTCGGCACAGAGGGTGTGAGACACTCAGGTGCTGTCGATCCCTTTCGGCACCCATCGAGGATGAGTCCCCAGAGCCCTGTTGTGTCCCCTCCCCTTTACATCCTCTCCCACTCCTCTCCATCTCACTCCATGACCAGAGCATGCCATACCGATCTCCAGCTCCGGGATGTGCTCCAGGCACACGAGGCTCCCCCACCATGCTCAGGAGCACTCCAAAAACACCCTCAGGGTGCCTGAGCCAGCCCCAGGCGTGTGAGTCGCCTGTCAGATGCGGCTCGGCTCCAGCACCGCCCCGAGCGCCGGGAAATCCGGCTTGGATTACAGCAGGAAAACAGTCACGTGCCGCAGGTGATGCTCAGGGAGCATGTTTCCCATGTTTCCCAGCCCTCGGGGCTTCCAGTCCTGCATTTATAAAGTGTCTCTGCCGCCGTGGGAGAGATCGATGGCTGCGACACCTGAGCACACACTGACTGCAGAGCCCCTGGAGCTCCTGCCCCAACCTTGTGGGGTCCTCATCGCTCCCACGCTCTCTGGAGGAGCAGGGGCATCACCTCGGGAGGATTTGTGCCTGTCCCTGCAGAGATTTCCTCTCTGCCCTCCCCAGTTGCACCACAGAATCATTTAGGCTGGAAAATCCCTCTGAGACCATCAAGTCCAACCATTTCCCAGCCCTGCCAAGGACACAACTAACCACGTCCCCAAGTGGCCACATCCATATGGCCTTTAAATCCCTGCAGGGATGGTGGCTCTACCACTGCCCTGGGCAGCTGTGCCGAGGCTGGACAGCCCTTCCAGTGTAGGAATCGTCCAACCATTTCCCAGCCCTGCCAAGGACACAACTAACCACGTCCCCAAGTGGCCACATCCATATGGCCTTTAAATCCCTGCAGGGATGGTGGCTCTACCACTGCCCTGGGCAGCTGTGCCGAGGCTGGACAGCCCTTCCAGTGTAGGAATCTTCCCTAATATCCAACCTGAACCTCCCCTGGCACAGTTTGAGGCTGTTTCCTCTCTCCCGTCCCTCGTTCCTTGGGAGGAGAGCCTGACCCCACCTGGCTGTACCTCCTGGCAGGGAGTTGGAGAGCGCAGAAGGGTCCCCTGAGTCTCCTTTTCTTCAGGCTGAGCCCCCACAGCTCCCTCAGCTGCTCCTGGTGCTCCAGCCCCTTTCCCAGCTCCATTCCCTTTCCTGGACATTGTCCAGCCCCTCCAATGTCCTTCTTGTCATGAGGGACCCAGAACTGCCCCAGTTCTGAACACATGTAGGAATCAGAGCACAGCAAGGAATCGGGGGGACAGGACCCTGACTCCTCTCTGCCTGCAATCAGGGAAGCAGTAAAGGAGGGATGGAGGGAACACAAACACAGAGGAACAAAAGAAGTGGCTGGCATGACCACCACCCCCCAAGCTACCACTGTTCTCTCCCTTGGGTCTATACATCCTTCAAAAACAAGACAAGCCACGAGTAGCAGTGTTTGGCTCCCAGGCTGTAACTAATGCTTCCCTCTGGGAAGGACGTTTGGCAGGAATCTGCGAAGCTGTTAGATTTTAGTTCAAACAAGCCCTGGCTGTGCCACTGCCACCTCATACAGCCAACCCAGCAGTGCCCAGGGACCTTGGGCTTCCTCCCAGCACTGTGGCTGCCCTCCAGCTCCCAGAGATGTGCCCACTGGGGCGGGGTAACACTCCAAAAATAGTCTGGAATAGCAGGAGCAAGCTGGGGACACAGCCCTCTCCCACATCTGTACCTTGGGGACATCCAATTCCCTGAGCAAGGACAATTAGGAGTAATTATGGCTTAATGGCATCGGTTTAACTAAGTATCATGGGGATGCAGAGCATTGCCTTGCGCATTTTCCAATCGTAGGGAGTAGCTGAGCAGAAAGCTCAGTCCATCCCAGGGGTCTCTGCAAGGCTCAGCCCCACAGGCAGTGCGGGCATAGAGTCATAGACTCATCAGGGTTGGAGGAGACCTCTAAGATCATCAAGTCTAACCATTAACCTGTCACTGCTGGAACCCCTAAACCATATCCTCCAGTGCCACATCCAGATCCCTCTTTAGCACTTTCAGGGATGGTGACTCCACCACCTCCCTGGGCAATACCCCAGTGCCTGAACACCGCCGTAACAGGGAAAACATTTCTGCTACCATCTCCTCTGCCTCTCCCTTGTCTCAGCTCAAGGCCATTCCCTCTAATCCCTTCCCTGCAGCCATGGCAGGAGAGACATCCCCCACCTCTCTCCAACCCCTGCCAGGGAGTTGGAGAGAACCATGAGGTCTGCCCTGAGCCTATTCTCCAGGCTAACCAAGCCCAACTCCCTGCTCATCCCTCTCTACAGCCATGCCCTCAACATGGCCAACTGCATGGACTGTTGTGTGTTGTGTTCCCTCTAGTCCTCTCCCTGCAGCCATGGCAGGAGGGACCATGTCCCACCTCTCTGCATCCCTTTCAGGTGGCTGTAGAGAGGGATGATGTTCCCGTTGAGCTCACCCTTGGTGGTGCTGGCGCTGCTGGTGGCGGCGGAGGCCAGGCCGGGGGCCCCACGGCAGGCGCGCTCCAAGCTGTTGTGCTGCTTGGCTAACTGCTCGATGGTCTCCTCCAGGCGGATCCGCTGCTCCCGCTCATGCTGCAGCAGCCGCTGCCATTTCCGGCTGTGGCTCTCGGCTAAGTCCAGGAAATCTCGGCAGGCCTAGGGGAAGGAAGGGACAGGTCAGAGCCTGGCACAGTCCTTTGCATCTCAGAGGGCATCACAGAGCCAGTGCTGGCACATAGTGACCCTGGAGCTCCTCCACAGCACCACCCTCCTCCTCGCTCCCAGCACTGTGGTTTTATCCCTCTCCAACTCCCTGACAGGAGGAGCAGCCAGGTGGGGTCAGGCTCTGCTCCAAGGGAACAAAGGACAGGACAAGAGGAAACAGCCTCAGGTTGCACCAGAGGAGGTTTAGGTTGGATATTAGGAAAAATTCCTTCATGGAAAGGGTTGTCCAGCCCTGGCACAGCTGCCCAGTGCAGGGGGGGAGTCACCATCCCTCCAGGGATTTAAGACCCATGTGGATGTGGCACTTGGGGACATGGTTAGTGCAGTCCTTGGCTGTGCTAGGGGAATGGTTGGACTCAATGATCTCAGACAACCAGACCAGACTCCAAACCTCAGGGCACTTCACACTGTGTTTTCACCTCATCCTCTGGAAACAACTCCTCTCCCCACCCCAGAAGTCCCTTTGGCAGGCACCCACAGCCCCAAAGCCCATGGGGGAACCTGTCCTGATACCTTCACCCCCTGCTGAAGCCTCTGCCAGTTCCAACACCCCGAGCTGGCCCCTGGCTCCGTCTGTCACACCCACGCACAGCCCTAAGAGGATGAAACAAGGGCAAGTAACGGGATAGTGGCTGTGACCTTCCCAGCCCAGCAAAGCTCATTATCTGCTCCCAAGGGT